TGGACTTAATGCATTTCCATCTTGAGAGCTCTATTCAAGAGATCGAAGGGTTACCTGATGAACGTAGTTTTAGTATATCTCGAGAGAGAATATTAAATAAMWTTGGARAKACYTCAGCTTATGRGAATGACAAATAATCTTGGTTAATCGAATCCATTAATATTCATTACATTGGTTAGGTGGACCTAAAAGTCCTAGCATTTTCATCCATTGCATATTCGATTAGTGATCCTTGCTTCTATTTTCTTTTTCTAGTTTTTAATTTCAGTAGTTCTTGCTCAAATCTGAATTTCGTTTGTCCAGATAATTAGGGAAGATTGTGGTTTTAATACTTATTTTGTTAARTCCCCGTGGGAACGATAATTTTATACTACTTGATAACTAGTGCATTTGCTAGGGTTATATTTATAGCTATCAGTATAGATAGTAACATTTTGACGTTTTAACTAATTAATTTGGAAAGTCTTTTTCTCGTCTCTCACTTGGATCCTTTGCGGACATGGAAAACCAATATAAATTTTCTTTGTTGTTTTAAGGTGTATATGGAGTTCACGGCTGGTGAGTCATTTGCAATTTCTGAAGATGTATGGAATAAACCACTTGGACGTGGAAATGAGGTCAGATTGCATCTTAGAGAGTAAGCTAGGAAGTATTTGGAGGAATATAAATTAAAAGTGGGTATATTGATTCCTAGATGGATAGTCATCTTCTCTTATTATAGTCTACACTTTCTTCCTTAAATGTTGCCAATTACAGTTCCAATATTTTGTTGCACTTTAAGTTCTTTAACATATAGTCAATCTTTCGAGTGGAAGAAGTAAGATTTGGTTTTATAAACATCTGGTTTTCGTTGGTTCACTGTTTTTTTGATGGCTCCATGTGACAACAATTCGAACATGTGAAATTCATAAAAAAAAAACAAAAAAACAATTCGAACATGTGAATTCATTGGTTCACTGTTCTATTGTAGCATGCGATCAGTAGATGCTATGGAATCCTTTGGTAGCAATTTGGGTGTAGGTTTGTGGTCTGCTTGAGGCCTAATGGGCCCTCTCTACCTCAACAACAGGTATTACATATTAATTTAAGGGGGATTAAGGGTAACTAGGATTTCATGAAAGTAAAAACTCTATATGCACTCTTAAAAGCATATGCATCCAATTGCACATTGGGAACATCTCTTTGTGAATTTTATATACTTGCAAATTTGGTTTACCATTTTTAGAAGCATGTTGATACAAATGCTGATAGTACCAATGGATGATAGGTAYGTTAAGTGAACTTTCTATCCTTATTATAGGTGCTTTGAGGAATTTCTCTCTTGTAGTCCATGTACACCAAGGATCTTTAAAATGGACATGAACAAAAAGTGTTTGGTTTGTAATTTGTATACAATATACTACTAGCATTTTGAGTATCACCTCATGGTATTATGTTTATTTCTTTCATTTGAATGTATTCATAAGGGTGTGTTTACATGTAGGTGCATGATAAACTGAGCAGGTCCAGCAGGTTATGATTTATTTTTATTTTCTATTTTCATGTCAACATGTACAGAAACATTTGTATGGAGATTGGATGGACCAATCCGGTCCAAAATATTTATTAGATTGGATTAGACCTGTTCCGTTCGTAACTAATTTATATTGGATTTGGTTGGATTAAGCCAATATTTGGTCCATTGATATAAGAAAAGAATATGTGTCAATGGACCGGGTTTGGGTTGAAACCAATCTAAATCAAAATGAATTTGAACAGATTGAGCGGTCCAGACATTGAATTGGACTGGTCCAAATTGGTGCAAAACATTCATTAGATTGGATTGGACGCGATCCATTTATAATGGACTCACACTGGACTGGATCGGATTGGACCAAATCTAGTACAATTGACACCCCTGCCTGTATCTATATCACTTAGACTTTTTGATATTTTTATATCACTTTAGTATTTTTTAAGTTGGAATAATGTTCAATATTCATGGTTAGTTTATTAAAGATTGTATCCATGTATTCCCATTGTGGTATTGTTGAAGAAATTGGACATGGCCTGAACTTAATAGCCATATGGGAATCAAAGAACTGTTGTCCAGTTCAATTTAGTAAATCAAGTACCTCCTTGTAATGGATAATAAATTTCTCCCATGAGGGTAATTTTGTAAAATTTGATCAAGGTTAGTACTTTATTATAAGCCAAAGCTATGTACAAGTTGATTATAGAACCATCAAGTCTCTCATGCATGAAGAGTTGTGCATGAACATGATGTTTGTAATAGAAAAATTCATTTAATTTTTTAATCACTTCTATCTGAAATAGGGGTCTGTTTTGGTTTATGGGGCTATATTCAGTAAGAGAATTTATTTGTTTTCTCATACAACATTTCTTGCAGAAATCTGAAGAGTTTGGACTTGCTTGGAATTGTGACGTAAATAATTAGCTTACATGATCCCTTGCTATTTCAATTTGGAATCCATTTRAAGTGGTTGGCCTCCTACATATGCAATTCATAAATTAAAYGATGAGAAGGATATTTCTATGGTTTTTCAGCATGGTATAGAAATTTGAGATTATAAAATATGGATTTAGTAGATGCACACTTGTGTGCTATAGCTAAAGCATTACTTGGGTAGTTGGGTAGATGTTATCAGAAATGGCCATGGGGTTCCAAATAAGCCAAACCTTCTGCTAATTAAGGATATTATTTTATTCTTTTGATCATTGCTATTGTTTATTATCATTAGCAAAAATTGGTTGATAGTTCTTATTATTGATACTATTTTCCAGTTTATTTGTTCATTCATTTTCTACTTAAACCTCCATTGGTTTATTTGAGAATCACTGAGGCACACATTGTCTTTTGTCCCTTGTAGAGAGCTCCATTTAGTTGGTCATCAATGAGCGTGGAGCTTGGGTATCTTAACGGAGTGAGCATGGTATTTAATGTTCTTGGTTGGATTGCTATTGGATCATATTACATTCAATTTTTTGTTGCTCCTCATGCTCATACATGTTTATTGAAAAGGGGCTCAAGGACAAAGTGCCTAAAGGGAATAGTGGATTTGGCTACTACAGGTTTAAGACATGTGATTAAGTACCTATTTAATATATTTGACTGCATGTTCATTTTTATTTGCAAAATTTGAATATTATATGCTTCGGTGAATATCATGGTTTGAAGTACAAGTGCCAACTTTGAATGGGGAGAGAGATTGGAGTAAAGAGAGGGAGCAAGAGAAAGAGGGGGAGGGAGGAAGATAGGGTCATAGGAAATGATTTTTTGCTTTGTTCTTTCTTCCTTCTATATTTTTGGTTGGATATGGGTAATGAGGTCTTATAGAACCCACAATTTTTTAGAGATCTCGCTATGATGTTTTCCATTAGTGAAGTTTGAAAGGTTGATATACCCTATTTCATGAAAAATGATGCATCCGATTAATCATGATCATCTATTTATCAAGCAGGGACATTTTCTAGATAGTGATAATTAAGCTCACCTTAAATGTAATCTCTATAATCCAAGTGTTGGGACTAACGTTTTGACAATATGGTATGGTGGTATTCCAAAAGTTCCGAGTGAGAAGAACCATCAAATGGACACCTAAAGACCTTTTGACTCCTCTTCCTCCCAAATGAATCAAATTTACTTATAGATTTTTCAAAGAAATTGGAATTGGGAAAGTTGGTTCTTAACTGTAAGAATCTATAAGTTTTTTCTTGATCAAATCTCATTTCTTCCTTTTCTCTTTCTATTTATTTGTTTCATTATCTATTTCCTTTATCAAAAGCAAGAACTACACTAATTTCCTTTATTTTTCCTTTTCTGTTTCTATTTATTGGTTCTTTTAATAATTTATTTTCCTTTTTGATTGAGCAGGATTTTACCGAAGATGAAAAATCAGTTGAGACAATCACAAGTATGATTCTATGTCATGGCCTTTAATCACAAATCATTAGTCATGGCGTTGAGAGACAACGATGTCCATTGAAGAGAAACTTCTGCTATACAAGGCAATTCGAATAACTCACCTCAAGGGGAAGGCATTAACATGTCTATGTAAAGAATAAGATTTTTTTTTTTTTTTGTAAGAAGCATATTAACCTTTCTTTAAATTCATATGGGCAGTGCTTATTACACCACCCCGCTAGTAATTATATTAAAAAGATAACTCTTATTGATATTAGGGCCCAAAAGTTGTTTTTATTGACTATAATTACTTGTAAATATTTCGAAACCCAAAAAATAAATACTGGTACGGGGCATATCATATACATACTTCAATACACAATTGTGTCCTGCATCAACTTTATTTTAGTCTGGCTCAAGTGAATCTTGGGTTCTATTTATTCCTTGGGCCTTCAATCCTCCATAAGTTCTTACCAAAAAAAAATTCCTCCATAATGAAATATGCCTTAGTAATCAATTACACAATCTCAGATTCCCAATGACCATCCCACCGTCCGTTGTACACTTCAACCATGAATCGTGTATGCTATGATCTGCTTACTTTAGGTTGGGTTTTTATGTGGGGTTGGCTTGTATAGTGTTGTATTTCAAATACACACAGATGCCATGTTCAGTGACATGACGAAAATCTGTAAATTTGGGTCAGGTTCAAGCCCAAATTTCCTAATCACCAATGGGGAGATGGGCTCGTGGGCTGTGGGCTTTATCCCACTCCTGTTCTGTTAGTTTCTTTCCAGTTTCCACTGGTTAAGTGGCATTTTGGATCTTCTGTAGGGGTATTTTCGACTAAGTAGGTGGATTTGGGTTATATTACTGAAAAATCCCTTATCATTTACCACAAAGATATCCGCTGTCCAAATTCCAAACAAAGGTTTTGAGAGGAACGAGCACACGAAAGAAATGCAGAACCGCCATTAAACCTCACCGTCTCACACCGGCTCTGCTTTGCCAATGATGTCTAGAGGAGTCCATCTCGTTTCTAATAATATTCCAGGTACGGCCTCTACTTAGTCTCCAGTTTCTCTGTTTTGTTCGAATGGTACTATTTTTTTTTTATTTTTTTTTTGTAATGTTTTCCGCGTTTCTCACTTGCTAGACTGGATATTACAATATGCAGAAAGCTTTGAGTGTTCTTGTTTCGGCTGTTTTTTTAAATGGGTCATTAGAACTTCATTGGTTGAGTGTTTCCGTTTCCTCATTAGTTTTGTTGTTGTTGTTGTTGTTATATGGGTTCGTGAAGTTCAATTGCTTGGCTCAGTTGTTGGGGTTTTGTACTACCAAAGAGTGAATAAACCTTTCCCTCCCTTTTTGGGTATTTGGCTCTGCAAATGTGCTAAGCAAATTTTTGTTAACCTTCTTGGTTTGGATAAGAAGGGGTGCTTGTGAAAATTTTTTCTGGCATCTTTTGAAAATTTGAGGAAGGTTTTTGGAGTTCCATTCTTAACTGGGTTTTCGTGGTGGAGAGTTTGATTTAGCTTAAGCTCTTTTTTTTTTTTTTTTCAAACTCATTACACTAATTGGATTGTATACTATTATTTTCTTTGATGGCTAACAAAGTACGAAGTAACAGGAACATCTTTAATTAAAAAACAAGGGAAGGGTGTAAATTAAATGAGTCATGAAACGTATAATATATGAATGAAAATAGTTCCTTCGGAGTAGGATTCTAGATTTTTTTTTCTGGAAAGTTGAAAATCAGAAAAAAGGGTGACTTGCAGAAATAGAGTTCATTTGCTCGACTTGCAGACAACTTTTAATTTCTTTATTTTCTTTATACCACTTTTAGACCTTTTTTGTTACGTTTTTTTTTTTTCTTTTTAAGTAGATAGGTTTAGTTGGCATTACGATTCTTTCAAAGAATTAATGGAATAATGGTTTCACAATTCACATTTGATATAGATACATTTTGTTACTATTGGGACTCTTGCCAGAATTATCATGAATCAACTTTCAAACTAGTACAAAATAAACATTTGTAAGCTGCATTTCCTTCCACAGAATTAGGTAATATTGCCTGAAAACTTAGGGATTTGGTTCTTACAAATTTCACCTACAACTGAGTTGTAAAATGCATGGATAGTTGATTTTTTCTTGCCCCTCAATGTGTCTCCTTTGTTCTATCCTTAAAAAGACGTTTGGCATCCGATCTAACACCCACTAAAATACAGTTCCCTATTTCCTCATAATCTCCAGAGACTAAATTGGTGAAGGGTTGTCACCTGATGAGAACCTCTTGGCTCTCATGGTAAAGTCAATAGGTGGCCCCCTAGATAGCTATATTGTAAATTCCTGCAAGGAGGTTCTTAGGTGTCTCAAATGGAAGTACTCGACTTCACATCTCAAAATGTTTACTTACCTCCTCGTCATTYAAATTTGCACTTGAAATTTTGTTCATAATTTCATATTTCAAATTGATTTTTAGCTTGGGCATACCTTCAAAGTATTTCATGATAGCTTTTAGATATGCCAAATACTACTATCTATGTTAGTATTGAAGGCATGTTTTATACACCCTTCTCCACTCACCTACCTCCCCTACAGATATTTGGGAACTGGTTTTTCATGATGGATCCATTAAGGGTATCCCCCACAATACTTAGCAGAAAAGGGTCTTGCCAGAGGCTGCCTTGTGAAGGGAATAAGCATCTTATGTGAATGAAAAATAAAGTCTAATGTATTGTTTCTTTAAGAGTCTTTAATTGGCTTTGGTATTTTGCTTTCAAGAGTTGGAGTGATGAATGCAAAAGATTGACTATTTGTTGATATTCGTCTAGAACTAAAAGAAACTGACACCCATCAATGTTTACAATTGATGAAGCAGTGCTTTTATCATTTTAGAGACTGCTATGGAAAGAAGCTAACAATATGACAATCATATAGCATGAAAATCTTCTCTTTGACAGTATTTCATCACCCTACTATGATTATGGAGGATTTACAGATGATATTTTTTGCCGAAAGAATTTTAACCTTGATTTTGATGAAACTTCATGGACTGTTAGGAGAAATATAGTTGCACACTTAATACTCAAGATATAATAGCATACATCGGCTATATGAAATAAAAACAGATTGATAATACCAATTAAAAAAAGAGAATATTAAGAGACTTAAATAGATATTTCTGTCTAATTCATAAAAAAATAGATATTTTTAGTCTTTTAGTCAACTTCCCTTTTATATGTATCTCATTCATTTGCCATTTTAATCAAGGTTGCAACTTGGGCAGGCTCAGGTTGGCCTTTTGTCAAATATTGAATGGGCCTGGCCTGAGCCTGAAGCATTGTAAAATGCTAACTTGGAAATCCTCTTTTTAAAATTGTATGCCTTTATTCTTTTTTCCCTTTTTGATTTAGTATGTGGGTTGTATTCAGAATAGTTAGTCATCCAATCAGAGGATCCTTATTTGCTCTTTCAGGACAAAATCTTCAGAAACTTTCAAGTTTCAATGATTTTAATGAAGTATTGGAAAGTTTTGATCATATTCTAAAATTTTATGTCTCAGATGTTTAGTATATCAATGAAATCCACAATATTCTTGATATATCACCAGTATAACAGAGATATGAGGGGAAAAAATTTATTGAAATATTTCGTATCAGCCTCTAGCAAAATGGAGACGTTTTGGAATAATTTATTTCTTTATATTTCAAAGCTGAGTAGCGGACACCCTAATCTGTTCAGGCATGCATCTTGCCTTGTCCTCAGGCTGCACTATAGTTGTAATTCCGGTCCTTTTTTCTTTCTTTCTTTCTTTATTTTTTTTTGTTGGGTTGCACTTCTTGCTTTTAGAACACTGATAAGAAGCAGGTAAACTTGGATGCTTTTTAGCTTTTATGATATTGCATCCATGCCTGACCTGACTTGGACTAATTCATTGTAACCTTACTTGTTCCAGCTAGAGTTGTTCCTTGGGATTGAGCTGTTTTTGGGTCTGAAGACTGGATGGTTTGTCGCTTCTACAATTGGCTCAATGACCTCCTTGACTTGCAATCCTTATTTTGTGTCCTTGAAACCCCTTTTTGCCTTTCATGTCGCACGCTTTCTCACAGGGTCTCATTTTTCTTTTTCTTTTTTCTCTCCTTTTGCACCTAAGCCATGTTAGCTTTAAGAAAACAATGATGAATCAGGCAATTGAGTTAAATAAGAACAAACATTTCCTTGTCCATGCTCCAAAAGAGTGATTGAGGAGGTATTTAGAAGCCATCTGGCACTGAACGTTGTTGGKTTTTGTTTTTCAGTAGCATTTGAAGGCAGAGAATTATCAATTAAATTAAAGTACTTCCAATTGGTAACTGGAAAGTGAAATTAGTTCATCAATTGTAATCATTAGAGGTCTTACATTTTAGAACTCTTAGGTGTTCGGTTCATGGTTCTGAAAAAGGGTGGTATTGTTCCAGAACCATACCGATTCTTCTTCTTTTGAAAATGACCATCTTCATGGTTCATTTTTTGAACCATGCTATGTGAGCATTGATTGTACAATTCATGATACATGTACTTTCACTATTTACTTATTTTTTTATCAGTAAAGGTAAATATTATTAAACAGTATATCAAACTTGAGGTTACAAATGTGTGGGTAAGTTACCCACACCCATAGAGATAATCAAATACAACTAGAAACTGCACTCCCCATACCCAGCCTTACAAGTTAGCCCWAAATAACTGCTGCCTATTTGCCCCCTGTTTAGCTAAAGTATCTCCCATGCCATTTGAAATTCTTCTCACCCATTTAAAAGTAACATTTAAATCCCTTGTTAACCTTTCAATTTCCCTGATCCTGTGCCAGTAAACCCAAGGAGTTCGGCTGTGAAATTGTGTCCAGGAAATTACCACCTGATCCTGTGCCTGTAAACCCAAAGTCCCAGTTCAGACCAGAATTATCGAAGGTCACAAATTTGGAAATGGGTTCAGATTTTTAGTTTGACAAAGGTTGTTCTCCCAATCAAAGGTCTTCCCAAAACAAGACCTTGTTCCCATTTCCCACATCATATCGAATATGGTTGAGGAAGGATAGACCTCTTGAATTGCTTTCTAGGGAGATGTTGATGAAGCATTAAGCTGTGTTTGGTTGCAGTGCAATTTTATTTGCACTAGTACAAATGCATGGGAGTGCAGATGAAAAAAATGCAAATTCTCATTTAATTCTGTTTTGGGTTTTACTTTATTCTGCTTCATGTCTTAATTTACATCATTTATATTGCAATCAAACAAAATAAGCTAAAATCTGAAACAAAAATAGGTCAAAATTTACATTCAAATTGTTTTCATTTTCATGGTTTTGCATCAGTGCAACTTTATTTGCATTGCAACCAAACACAACATTAGGGGCTATTTTTTGCATCCCAGCCATTGACCGCCCATGTATACTTTCAATTACCTTGTGTTAGAGCCTTTCTTATTTTAACAGGAATCTCTAGTGCCATTTTCCTAGGGAGCTCTATTTTTCTGGACTAGGTTCCCTATCCTAAGTCCCCCTTTGTCTTTTGGTCTACACACCTACTCCCATTTCACCAAACTATCTTTCTTTTCTTCTCTTGGTTCCCGGAGGAAGTCCATCATCTTCTCCAACTTTCCTACTATTTTGATTGGAATTTTAAAGGTGGACAAGTAATAAACAGGAAAGTTAGCCAAAGTAGCTTTGATTAAAGTTATTTTCCCTCCTATGGATATATAATTTCTCTTCCACAAAAATATCTTATGAGCAAATCTCTCCACAACCAGATTCCAAAGGCCTTCAAATCTTGGGTTTCCTCCCAAGGGGAGACGGGAGACCTAAGTAATCCAAGGGTGAACAGCCAACTCCTAACTTCACACCCTAAGATTCCTGCTATTCTAAAAATTTCCTCCTCTTATTGATTTAACCCCACAACACAACTTTTTCCTAGGTTAATCTTCAAGTTGGACACTTTTTCAAAAGAACTAAGGAGTTTTTTAAGGTACCCTAGGGAGGAGGGGCTGGCATCTTCATAGAAGAGAATTATATCATCT